GTGTGGGGGGGGGGTGGGGGGGGGGGGGGGGGGGGGGGGAGTGCTTTAATTAAAGCACCTGGAGCCAATGGTCCCTCTAAGGAGTAGCAGTCTGTGACTCCACCGTATCGGTCCCGCCTCCCCCTTTCAGTGCAGTGTAAGACACTTACCGAAGGTAAGCTCCTCACTCCTCACCTAGGGCAGGCAGTGGGGGCTAGGGTCTGGAGGCTGGTGCAGGCTCCACCGGCTCCAGGGAACTGCTCCACTCCCCCGCATCACCTCGGGGAGCAAGGAGGTACGTGGCATCAGGGCTGGGGAGTGAAGCACTTCCGCGGGGCCCGCAGGGCAGTTCCCCGGAGCCAGTGGAGCCTACGCTAGCCCCCAGTCCCAATCCCTGCCCTGCCTCGCCTCGGGGAGGAGCCGCTGCCTGCCCCGAGCGAGGCTCCGCCAGCTCCGGAGAAGTGCTCCACTCCTTGGCCCTGATGCCACGTGCCTCCTCACACCCTGAGGTGATGCGGGGGAGTGGATCAGTTCCCCGGAGCCGGCGGAGCTCACGCCAGGCCCCAGCCCCCACCTCGGAGCTCACCTTCTGCTCCTCTCCCAGCGCGCGGTCTTGAAAAGTTGGTGCGCGGCCAGACTTTTAGTTGTGCATGGCCGCACACGTGCGCACCGTAGAGGGAACCTTGCCCAGAGCATCATGTGTATCAATGTCCCTGCACTGAAAAATGGTGGTGGGGGCGCTTTAACTAAAGCTCATTTGATGAGTTTTAAAGCACCCCTGCTACCATTTTTCAGTATGAGGTCACTGACATACATGATGCTGGGATCTGCTGGAGCGCAGTTATTACCACACTCCAGCAGATTCAGTGAATCAAGTCTGCTCCAACACGCTGTAACCACAGTGCGTTGGAGCAGTCTCATTGCATGTGTATAGGTAGGCGAGTGTGGTGGCAAAGCCTAGTTCTTGAGTGACTACCCCTTCTCCACTTATCACATCTGAAGTTCATATTTAACAGTCCTGAATGTGGTGTGGGGTTCTTCTGGAGGTTTTTTCTTTCTTCTGCATTTTGGATTCTTCTTTCCTTGAAAGCCTTCACTCCACACTTAGACTGTTTGCAAGCCCTCAATTCACAACAATCTCCAAATCATAGAAAATGAGGCTAGGAAAGGATCTCAGGTCCTCTAGTCCAAGCCCCTGCTCAAAGCAGGACCAGCCCCAACTAGATCATCCCAGACATCTTATCTCAGTGTTCACTGCCTTCACGTCTCTTGCAAACATCTCTGAAACAGAGATAAAGATGCCCATGTAGTCTTCTTCCCATAAAGACCTCTCCACACAAGAGATACTTGGATATAAAGCCATCATCCATTCTCTGCATAGAGCAAGCCATGGAAGTCGATACTGACTGAAAAGAGAATGGATGCTCAGAACGCTGGCGCCTTCCCAAGCTTCAGCACAGGCAAGTTTGTCCTGCCAGGAAATTCCTAGAACGTAGTGACAGTAACCCAAGTGAAAGACGTTGAGGTGCTTTTCTTGAATACAGCATCTGATCCAGGGTCTGCTGCCATGCAAAGAACTGCTGCTGACGCAAATATGATATACTTTCACCCTGGTCTGGACAGTCGGTTTATTGTTCCACACTTGTTTGCTCATGACACCTGATGCTTTGCCAATACAGGTATTCAGTTCAGTCTCCAGTGACAGGTTTTTGGTAACAATGGAGCCAAGGTATATATATTTACTTACCACATCCAACCAATGTTCATCTATTGCGACTGCTGGTAGTAAATCAATGTTTTGGCCCATAACATTGGTCTTCCTGACATTGATTGCAAGATCAAACTCTTGGCATGTAGGAGTGAAGCAACTGATAAGGCTTTGAAGGTTTTTCTCTATGTGGACTATTGGTGCAGCATCATCAGCAAACAACAGCTCATGAATCAAAAGAGTAGGTATAATAATATAATACTAAACTATTACATAAAATCATAGGAAAATAGACCTGGAAGGGATCTCAGGAGTTTATCTAGTCCAATCCTCTGATCAAGGCAGGAGCATCCCTATCTCAACAAGCCCAGGCAAGTGCTTGTCTCTTACAAACTTCCAATGAGGGAGATCCCAAAATCTCTAGGAAATCTATTTCAGTGCTTCACTACCCCAAGATCAGAAAGTTCCTCCTAACACTAATTCAGCATCACTCAGACCTGAGTGACTCAGAAGCCATATGAGCAGTCAGCAGTCAGTGAATTGTGGCAGACCAACTCCAATTTAAAAGAAAAAAAAAACTACAGTATGTGCATTATCATTCGCATATATGTGCTATCTATGCTGCATTATTCACAAGTACAGGAAAGACAGACCCAATGCACATGACAGGGAAAAATGAAACAGAAAACAAAACACTGCGCAATACATCTTTGATAACATTTTCTGAAAAAGTCAAAGGCAATAAGTTGAAGAATCGCCTGGGGCTTGGGAGACGCAGTCTGGGTATCACTGCTATGACTTGATTTTAAAAGTTGTTACTGTAAAATAAGGAATGTTGGATTCCTCACTTTTCATAAGAGATGATTAAAACAGCCTGATTAAAATTACTTCAAAACCAGTCCTGCCTGCCCTATTGTGACTTTTGCCATGACAACCAACCACTCTTGAAGATCTGATATAAAAGGCAGAAAGAAATGTCAGACTAGATGCTCATAACAATCTCTTCAGCCATTAATATTACGAATCCAGCATTTAAAACAGTGATTCTCAACCAGGGTGATGCAAGATCTGTTTAAGGGTGCTGCAAAATTTTAGCAGTGTTAGGTGTGCAAACACCTGCACATGATTCACAAGATAAACCTAGAGATTTGAAATACGAATCCATAACGTCAAAAAACATTCTGTGTTCTTTGTTATAGAAGAATTGCTGTATTATTTTTCCATAGTCAAAAGATGAGTGAAAATTCAAGAGCTGGCATTTCCTAAGGGGCCATGAATCTAATGAGTTTGAGAACCACTGATTAGAAGATGACATCAGCTTGAAACTAGTCGACTTGAAAAAAAACTTGGGTATTTTCATGTATCTTGCCACAGGATTCTCTCCTCCAGCATTTGCAACAGTATCACAGTGTTTTCCCTCACTTAAAAAAAGTCTCTCCTATGTTTTGTTAAAAAAGAAAAGAAAAGAATGAAAGAAACAAAACAATATCCACCAACACCCACAAAGCAACTCAAATGTCTATCCAGAAAAAAATTATCAAAAGCAACGAGGAAAAAGGTTTTCCCTCTTTCAAATCTCTCCATTATCATCATCTTGGGCGTTACCTTAACAAATCAGTAGAAAAACTGTCAGACAGTGAGGATGGTGGCACCTTAAATAATTCAGTGTTTGTGAACTGCTGCAGTTTGACAGCTTCGCGCAGCAGCTCTCATGTGTGATTATACATTTAAGAGACAATGCATTGATGAACTTGCACCAGGGCAAAGTGTAGTTTAGTAAGCTTGGCTCTAACTTCAGACATTTGCCAGCTGCACATTCATACTACATTCGATCTACCATAGCCAGAGCAAAAGGTTAACAGTGAGGCGTGCTGAAATACATTAGAGAAGAAAGCTTTTCCCTCAAGAGGAAGGATGTTCCTCCCTCTCTCTGTTCTAACTATAGGGCCATGTGTATAAGCGCTCAGAGCAGACTCTAAATATAAAACAGAAAAGGATTCAAGAAATTGGGAAGGAAGGGAGGTAATTCAGGCAGAGTTTTAACATAAGCTGTTTATAACCCTTCTACCACCCACTTCCTTCATCCCCGTTGCCTATTTAGGGTCACCCTCTAGGAGAGCTTACACATACTACTACACTCATCTGAGTAAACCCATCATGTCCCATATGGTTACTCACATGAGTAAGCTTAGAAATGCAAATACTAGCTTTGCAGAGCAAGTCTGTGAATTGTCACTTCCAAACAGAGGTCTTGCTTACACTTCTGGAAATGGTCTAACAAGTTTGGGATACACAGACATAATTTTCAAAGATCAACCCCCTCCTCACCATAACTTCAGTGGAAGTTGCAGGTACTTCAGTCACTTTAAGAAACATATTCTATAAACTGGTAATTTCACAGATTTCATAGACATTAGGGCTGGAAGGAACCTCGGGAGATTGAGTCCAGCCCCCCACCCAGAGGGCAGGAAGTCAGCTGGGGTCATAGGATTCCAGCAAGATAAGCAACCAATTTACTAATACATTTCTAATACTAACAAGGCTTATATGCACCTTTTAAAAGTTATTTTTAACTAGTGGCAGTGAAAGAAGAACTCCTGCTGTCTCCAGAAAAAACAAAGGAATAACTTTCCCAAGCAATTTGAGGTCACATAGTAAACACTGCCAACTTTATTCTAGAGTGTATACTGTTTGCATTGTGTTTGTGTTCTGTTGGGAAGCAGTTAGTGTTTGCTTTACAAGATAGATAAAGACAGGTGTTGTAAAGTTGTGAAGGATGGGGCAGTGGAGTGTTGAAAAACATACAATAAAAATTTGGAAACAGATATTCCACTGGAACCTCAACATTGCTGTTCTTAATGAAAAGTAATTGCATCACAAAAACTAAAAGTATAGCAATGTAAATGGATCTTGTTCTTAATATGTTATTATATTGCTGTAAACAGCAACTATTTTGATCATTCCCCTCGCTTTCAGCTCTTTAACCTCTCAGCCAACTTCCACTGTGGAATCATTGTCCTCTGCTGCTGTGTGCTCATCTGTACAAGCTCAGTTACATGGGGTAGGAGGAACAGGCCATGTGCGTAAGGGACAACACAGAGAGCATGCAAGGTTGCCTAAAGATGGGAAGTTGATCAAATACAAACATTGTCTTTCAAATGTCTATATTGCCGCATGCATTATGCTCACTTGCATACAAGGACTGAAATGACCATACAAATACAATAGTCATCATATATCTACTAACAATGCAGAGTGGGTGCCCAGAAGGGAGTGAACACATAAAAACATCTTTCCTGATTATGGTCAGTGCATTAGGCATTGATTCTACAAAGGGTTCTCGCCAGCACACTACTACGGCTGTACACCAACTCATCCAGATCCTCTACATGCAAAACGCTCTCATCTCAATTCAGAATCAAGCTCTTTGTTTGTAAGAGGCATATTTGACTGACTGTTCTTCCAATACCAAGTGCTGGTCATTTAACCAAACTACTCCATATAGCCAAGCAGTTTATTTGAACTTTGGCCCCATAAAACAATGAATAAAAGGAATGGATTTAAGCTTCATTTCATACCTGCCTAAAAAATTGTAAAAACCCTCTGAGGAACTATTAAAATAGCATTTTCTCTCACAAACTCTCCAGCATCTCATAACACTGGTGGAGGCTGCCATTGGGAATATATGAAGCACCAACCCTTGAAAACTGTGTGGCCAGAACAAGTTTTGACAGATGACAACGATGGCTCCAAAAACCCTTTAAGTTTACAAAGAAGCCGAAGATCCGAGTGTCCCTGTTAGCTGCTAGAGCTCAGGCACACAGCTCTGTAGTCAAGGGCCCACAAAAGATGGGGGTGACTAGTATCACATCCAGCTGCCTTTGAAACCCAAGCCAAAGGACAGGTGCAGAGCAAGTGTGAGGAGTACGGAGCAAAGCTCATGTTTCTACTTCTAGGGCCACAGCATGACACCTTCACCCTTTTGCCACCAGAAAACCCCTTCGCAGAATGAAAACACTGCCCAGGCAGGACTGGACAACAAATACCTGCAAGGATTTACGCTATTTTCAATCCCACAATGACATGTAAATAAAGTCACACTCCTGCACTTGTGCAGTACACAGCTCTCTTGAGACTACATACCATGCTTTTAAAAGCACAAAGAAATGTCACAGGCTGCTGTTTAACATGGGACTGGGAACCAGGAAATCCCAGTTACTAATTCTTTATTTATCATCTGCTTCCTGCATGGCTTGAACAAATCACTTGGGACTCTCATCTCACCACTCCCTCTCCTTCCCTCCCTAGATGATAGCTACCTACTTTGCAAAGATGCTGCAAGATTTAAGTGGCTCATGTTTACAAACAGCTGTGAAGATGCTCGGACAGTACCAGCTCTTAGTCACAGAAACACGTTGTGGAGGTTGCCATCCACTAAAAAAAAAAACCAACCTGTGGCCAAAACATTTTAAAAATTGAACTGCCGTGGAAACATGAAAGCAATGAAGCCTGCTGCCGTTCGTTTCAGAGAGCCCCAAAGACACCAAACCCGCTGCTGTTTCAGATACCCCTGCTACACATCCCATGTATTATGCAATTAACTGGTGAATCATGCAATACATTTAGAGTGGTCACACGTGCAAATTATTACACCATAAAAATGACTACCAAGCTACATAAAGAGCCAACCAGCTATGAAACTAGTGCTTGAAAATGTGTAGCAACTCTACAGCTGGTTTCTATCCAGCTTTAATTTGAGCACATAGCAGAGACCCAAAGTCCCCTGGCCTGTGCGTTTCAGAGCCCCAAAGCCTCCCAACCTGCTGCTGTCTGAGACCCAAAGGCCCCACACTGGCTGCTGGGTGCTCCAGAGAGACCCAAAAACACAAACCTGCTGCTGTGCATTTCAGAGACCTACAGCCACCAAACTTCTGCTGTTTGTTTCAGAGACACCCAAAGGCCCCAACCTGCTTCTATGTGTTTCAAAGACCTCAAGCTATCAAACTGTGGCTGGGTGCTCCAGAGACCCAAAGCCCCCAGTCTGCTGCTGCTTGTTCCAGACAGACCCAGAGCCCCCAGTCCTTCTGCTGTGCACTTCAGAGATCTAAACCCCCAAACCTGCTGCCATTTGTTTGAAAGACCCAGAGCCCCCAACCCAGCTGCTGAGCCTTCCAGAGACACCCAAAACCCCTAACCCTGCTGCTCTGTGTTTCAGAGACCTAAAGCCCCCAAACCTGCTGCCATTTGTTTCAGAGACATGCAGAGCCCCCAACCTGCTGCCGGGTGCTCCAGAGAGACCCAAAGCCCCCCACAGTCACCTCGCTGGGGTCACCTAACCCCAGTTGTCTTTTCGTGCCTCAAGCAGGGGCGGCTGAATCCGACCCGATGATCTGCAAGGTCTCTTCCAGCCCCTTACAATCTACGAATAACCCTGCTGCTGTGTGTGTTTCAGAGACTTGAAGCCCCCAAACCTGCTGCCGTTTCTTTCAGACACCCGAAGCCCCCAACCTGCTGCTGTGTATTTCAGAGACCGCCAGCCCCCAAACGTCCTCCTGTTGGTTTCAGAGACACCCAGAGCCCACAACCTGCTTCTAGGTCTTTCAGAGACCTCCAGCCCCCAAACCATGGCTGTGTTCTTCACGGAGACCCAGAGCCCCCAAACTGCTGCCGCTCACTGCAGACAGACCCGGCGCCCCAGCCCTGCTGCTGAGCACTTCAGAGATCTAAACCCCCAAACCTGCTGCCGTTTCTCTCCGAGAGACCCAGAGTCCCCAACCCGGCTGCCGCAACTTCCGGAGATGCACGATTTCCAATTTTGCCCTATCGATATTTGCATGGACGTCCTGCCAAGCTTCGAGCACCTCTCATTCCCATTTTCCTCATCTCCACCTCTTTTCTCAGGCGGCCTCTTTCCGACCTGGTTTTCTATCGCTGAGAGGTCTCCCTCCTCCCGTCCCTTCCCCTACTTGACCTTCTGCTTTCTGCATTTCAACCTATCGATATTTTCGCCAAGCTCCCATCATGGTTTTGGGGGCTTTTCTCGTTCCCATTTTCCTTTTTTTCCCCACGGAGGGCCTTTTTTCAGCCTTGTTTTCTCTAGCACTGTCGGGTCTCCCTGTGGCCTTTTCTTCCCCTACGTTTTGTGTCTCTACTCCCCACCTCTCTGGGGTCTCGCCGAGCTCCTGCCTCACTTTTAGCTCCTCTCGTTCCTCAGGGTCTCCAACCAGCGCAGCCTCCCCAGGCCAAAAGCTTGCCCAGAACTTTCCCCAGACTCCTCCAATACAAAACACCACATCGACCCCAACACTTTGCTTGGCAGAGACCCCCCCCCCGCCGCGCTGTGCAGAGACCCAGGCGCCCACCCCCGCGGCCGGCGCTCTGCGAGGGCCCAGCCCGGCCCCGGGCACGTACTCTCGGTCTGCAGGATCTCGCGGCGCAGCCCGCCCGCGTACTGGATGAGCTCCTCCAGGCTGCGCTCGCACAGCTGCCCGTAGCCCGCGAACTTCTGCAGCACCTTCTCCAGCTCCCGCTCCACCGTCACACACTGGTCCATGGCGGCCGCGGGCCCCGCCGGCCCGGACGCCTGGCGGAACTTCCTCCCCGACGTCGCACAGGCAGCGCCGAGGGCAGCCGGGGTCCTGCGACGGGGCTCAGGCAGCGCCACGGGTAGCCGGGGTCCTACGGCGAAACTGCGGCGGATTGGCTCCTTCCAAGGCTAAGCCGGCCTCTCCAGGGAGCATGCGCGCACAGGCATCGCGGCGGGCAGCTCGGGGGCCTGAGGGCGGGATGTTCAGGCAGCGCGGCGGGCAGCTTGGGTTGGGGTCTTCGGCTAGCATGGGGCTAGTGTGTGTGCAAGCAACCTCTGCTCCTCCCTGCGCGCCCGGCTCAGCCCAGCAGTAGCTTCCCCTTACTCTGCCTCAGGACGCAGGTGCGAAGCTTGCTGTGCCTCATTTTAACTCCCATTGCAGGAAAGATGGGCAGCTGCTTGGGTTGAGTAGCAAGGGCTTGGTGCAGTGTTGCTAACCCTCATGATGGCTGGTGTTGTTCCGAAAGTCTGCACTTCGGGAATGTGAAAAACATCCTTCTATCTATCTCTTTTAACTATCTATATATATCTCTAGATACTGATCTATATATAGAGAGAGATCAAGCTAGAAGGAGCTACATTTTTCGCACCCCCCAAGCATAGACTTCTAAGAGCGATGCCAAAAATCATGTGAGTTGGCAATGCTGTTGGTGGGACTCGGGACGGACAACTTGCCTGAGACGGCAGGGCTGAACAGTGGGTCCATGCTTTTCCGGAGGCAATGCTCCTGAACGTGATGTTAAAATGCTCAACGTTAGGAGAAGCGTCTTCACAGTCAGGGTGTCCAGACTGGAATAAGCTCCCTCCAGAAGTGGTGCAATCACCTACTCTGGAGATCTTCAAGAGGAGACTGGACAGTTACCTTGCTGGGGTCACCTGACCCCCAGGTGTCTTTCCTGCTTGGTGCAGGGGGCTGGACTTAATGACCTTCTGAGGTCTCTTCTGGCCCTTACAATCTATGAATCTTTGGTTCGGATACATGTTGGCTGCTGGGAGGGTCTCGCAGCTTGGAAATCTTAGCCATGTGGTAAGAGAGATGCATACTTTTTACAAGTCAAGGGCCAAGGGTTTGGAGCAGGCTCCCCACAGAAGTGGTGCAGTCACCCACCCTGGTGATCTTCAAAAAGCATTTTGATGCTCACCTTGCTGGGATCATCTCACCCCAGTGGCCTTTCCTGTCCAAGTGCAGGGGGGCCAGACCCAATGATCTGTAAGGTACCGGCAGGCCACTAATATCTATGAAACTATAAAACTTGGCTTCTTAGAGCAATGGAGAAGCATCCTTCAGGCCAAAGTGGCAGACAGGTTTCTGGAGTTCAAGGCAGCTGAGTTGATCGAGTATGAGACCAATGGGATAAGCCAAGATCACGTTTTGAAACAAAGCCAACTGCAGAGGGAGTCTCTTTATGAAATGATTAAGGACCACAGTAGCTATATGCGAAGGCAGTGTTGGCTGAAGTTGTGTGCATCAGCAAGAGATTTGAATCCACTCTAGATCAGAGGTTCCCAACCCTTGGCCCGTGGCTGCAAAGGGTTAGCTCTGATCTGCAGGAGGGCTGGCTGCCAGACCAGAAGTTCATAAGTAACCACCATACTGTGGACCGGTTGGCTGATGGTCCTCAGTATGCCAGTCACTTCCGGACTGCAGTATACTGGTCCGCAGTTTGCCAGTCTGCATTCACTTCCAGTCCACGGTCTAAAAAGGTTGTGAACCACTGCTCTAGATGACCTGGAGTCGATGTCAGTCTTTTTCATTGATATGACACTGTCGTTCCATGGTGAAAGGTGTCGATTGCTATGTTGCACTGAACCCTCACCTTAGTTACGAGTTTGAAATGTTATGACAAGCCCTTCAGCCCTTGTATCAAATGAAGTTATTCCAAACTATTCCACTGATTTCCAGCTTCCCCCTGCCCCTCCTTTTGCAGTCTAAACAAAAGTTACAAGTTGATGTTAAGGTCCTTCAACAAAATAATTTCCTGGCTCCAAGTAAAACTCTTTAAAGCCACAGGCTGCCTATACAGGTGTTTGTTCTAATTGGAATGCATCAGAGCAGACTCGATTAATCGAGGCTGCTTTGCATTCTAATGAGAATGCTCCAGTGTTGCTTTACCATCCCATATATTAAGCCCCTGCACATTTTAAAATGACCACAGGGGTGCTTTATCTAAACCTTGTCAAGTGAGCTTTAGATAAAGCAGCCTGTGGCCATTTAAAAATGTGGGGGTTTAATATGCTTGACTGTGAGCTGCTTTAACTAGAACAGCTGTCTGGGAACTGCTCTAATTTAAATGCACCCCCTGCTACTCAAAGCACATGTATAGGCAGCCATATATTCATCTTACCCACAAAGATGATGACCAGAGAAAAAAAATTAACTGTAGAAATAGCGGGAACAATCCGTACCAAGTGAAGTGGCAAGAGACAACCACAGAAGGATCTGGACTATGGTCCACTAGTATAAGAACGGCAGTTGAGAGAGTCACTCTTATTTAGCTGAGATTATTGTCATATCAATTTTAACTCTTCCACAGACCAGTGTAGCGGTAGAAAGCACAGTTGGAGAAAAGAAGGCAGTTCAAAGTAAACTTAAGAATAGACTGCTAGCCCCCCCTGCTGAACATCACTCTCATCTCTCAGTATAGAGGGCTTCTTTCTGGTAAGCAAGTGTATGGATAATGACTCTCCTTCTGACTACATTGACACACTTGATATTCATAAAGCCATTTCCACCTTGAAATTCTTAGATGTGTTGGAAGAAGATGCTCAGGGTACAGACATAGAGGTAACGTATGCTCTAGCAGACAGTTTGATAAGTCATGATTGCTGCTATGGTTCATTGTTAATAGATAGCCAGTCATGCCAACTTTGCATTTAGGATTCATTGAACAGCTTTGTTTTAGGGATAATGTAGAATAGTAAAAATCCAAGTTTTCAAATACACCATTTCCTGTTATTAACATTCCTCTTGTTTTCTTCATGGAAGATTTGTCTTACCATGGTTTTGCTTGGTATTCATAGCCTGTGATGAATCCTAGCAAGAGTTTCAATGCCGTCTCTCGGGAAGGGAGAGTTGGGAACAATTGGGTTAGGTGAGAGCTTGTGGAAGTAATGGAGAGAGTAGTGATGGGATGTGGCTACCTCTGATCAGTTGGATGTGCTCAGTAATGTGGTGTCTTTTTGGAAGGGGGGTGATAAGAGTGGTTGTGCAATGGAGACCCAGGTTGTTACCTCTTCAAGAAGAGAAAGCGAAGGACTTGCTTCAATATGTGGAGCAAGCAGGGACGCAGATAAGAGGTTTGAAGAGCCCTGCTGTATACATGCAGCTAGAAATGCAATTATAAGGGGGCATATCGGCCTGTGGCTAAGCATGTGGAACTAGTTAAGTCAGAGGTGAGCAACCTATGGCTGCAGGCCAGGTCCAGCCCACAGAGCCAAACAGGAGCACGCTGGAAATGGATAAGAGCTTTGGTAATGTTTATAGAAGCTTGTAAGTAGCAGTGGCACCGAAAAGAAGTATCACTTCACAGTTCTGTTTCGAAAGACCAAGCAGCAGAAAAAAGCAGCATTGGAGCATCTGAAGGAGAGCAAAGGATAGACTAATACAGCTGCCTCAAGGCCAGAGGTTGGAAGAGAGAATGCTTCTATTTTCCAGCAGCCAGAGGGAATGTGGGAGGAGAAAAGTTCAGAACAGCCTGACAGAGACTAGCTGCAGGCTAATACAAGAGGGGGAACCCTCGGGCAGGATCAAAGGTCCACACAGTGATTAGAATCCCAGCAAGCTGGAGGCAGGACAGTTGGCTTCTTGCTGGGACAGTGAATTTCCTCTCCTGTTTTGCACTGAACTGTCTAAAAGTTCAATCATCTGACTAGCCGGCATCTGATATATTTATCAAACCCCGCTGGAAATTTTCATTCTATGACTTGTAAAACTACTTGTTCAGGCACTCATGGTCAGAGAGTATTGCTAGCTCAACTGGTGGGGAAACTGAGGTACAAGGATCATAATTGAGATCCCATATGCTCTTGGCACAAGGCAACCAGCTCACATGGCAAGAACACAAAATGTTTACTGCAGCAGAAATGCCTATGCAGTTTTCAAGGCCCAAAAGCAATCTAAGGTCTGAGTGTTCAGTTTTGATAGTACTTCTGCTGTGTCATGGCAAATACGCTTTATGCTAAGGGAAGGAGAAAACAGCCCAAACTAAAAGGAAGTGGTGTAGTCATTGCTTTTGTTACAAGTGAAGTGCTTTTGCTACTCTGCCCATCGTGCCATGGAGGTGAGAGACATTTAATGCCATCTTTATTTTGCGATTGCATTTACTATGTGATGAAATAGTTTTGGGTTTGTGTCATCACTGTTGTGTTGATTTGGCTGCAGTAATCATTCTTCATTGTGGAGTGTGTAGTCATTTCCCAAGACATGCAAACAGCTTCACGTGAGCTTTTCATATTTTCTGCGGTGGATAATGAATGAGTCAGCATAGTTAACTGCCACAAAAATTAAAAAAATACCAATTGGTTTTAAGTAATATAAATTGTTTTTTAAAAGCTGTTTAAATGATTTTGTTCTTGTTTACACTGGCTGAACATCTCATATGGAGTGTTCAGGGTGTTAATACAAATATGAAACAAGCAATGTGGGTGTGAGTAATGTAAGATTAATTATTATAAAGTTAATAGAATTGGAACCAGTGGAAATAGTGAGTACTGGAATTACATGGTTTAGACTCTAGTTCATCTGACAAATATCAGCTGTTTGACTGACTGCGGGTAAAAGTTTATATACCGACATCTATAATCACACAAGCAAACCACACAACTTGATAACGAAAAGCATCATCATTTAGCTTTTTATTCCTCTATTAAATAAAACTGCCAATTAGATACTATTTTGCTGTGAAGGCTTCTACATATGCTTGTCAATTTTAGTTTAGTGCAGTTGTTCTCAAACTGTTTATGCTCAAGGCACACCTTGGAAAATGACAACTCTTAGGTTTCACTCTCTTTTTTTCTACTACAGAAGAAACAATAGAGCAATTTTTGT